AGGCCTGGTGGCTTCTTGCAAATGCCATTAGGAGCACTAAAACGAGCCAGAGGAAGCTGGAATGATTTTCTGTCTCATGTACTACTTTCACAACACAATGAAAATCTCAGCAATCATTTTTTTTTAATAAAATGTACCCACTGCAGCTTTAAACAATTCAAAGAAAACCCATTCACCTCCATTGTTTTAGGCTGTGAAAAGAAATCTCAGAGACAGATCTGTCAGAAAAAAAAGTCTACATAGCACTACAGTCAAAAGGGAACCTCAGCAATTTACTACTAGACTTTCACAAAGTAAAGGGCCTCCCATGAATAAAGAAGAGGTCGACATATCCTGTCTTATATTCTCTAGTGAAAATTCTCTGAAAATGTAGCACCCTACAACTTCCATAATGCAACTCAATAGTGTCTTTTATTAAATCATCAGGGTTATTTTTACTTGACAACGCTCCTTCAGAGCCACAGAGGACATCATACGACTGTTTTCACACTCTGAGTGTTGCTCATTTAATGTTTAAGTTAAGTGAACGTTTTAATTTAGAAAAAAACTAAACAAAATTGGAATAAAAGCATTTAAATCCCTAAATCAAAGGTTGGACACATTTTCTCAAACCCTAGTTCATAATGTTCATAACACAACAGCTCTAAGAGAGATTTTCACACTAGCTTGGTCTTAAAAGTCCAGTGTGAAAGATTTAGTGACATCTAGTGGTGTAGTTGCAAACTGCAACTCACTTGCTTCCCCCTCCCTTTCTAAACAACGGTGGCTGCGAAACTGCCAGTGTTTTTATGGTCTGGGCTACTGTAGAAAAATTACGGTTCAACATGGCATTGTTTTTAACAGAACGCGACCTGAGGTGTTGTAGATAAAAACAGCTCATTCTAAGGTAACAAAAACACAACAATTCTTATTTTCAGCTGATTATACACTGATGAAAACATGCCTATGAATATTATATTCCATTTCTGACAATAGATCCTCCTAAATGTTACACACTGGACCTTTGAATTTAAAGCTTGGAGCCCAAGTGTGTCAAACACTCATAAGTGTCTGTAAGAAGCCAAATAAACAGACTGTGACTTTGCACTCAGACACAGAGCTCTAGTTCTGTCTGGCAATGTTAGGAGGGTGGGCATAGACACACAATATATAGATAACAAACCATCCAGTTAGTGAACACGGGTGTGAGTGTAGTGTGTTAATACTACTCTTATTAATGTACAAACGGGAATATCTGTCAACAAAGCCTGAATTTAACCACTTATGTGTGCTGTAAACTGATCTGCGTGGCCTACAGTTGTCCATAAAAAAATAACAACTAGACTATTGTTTAATAGAGATAGACATTCCTCCCAGGACTGCGCATGTTTTACATTCACCCTTTATACTGTACCTTTATACAGTTCCTGTCCATCCCCCTCATTACTCAGACATGCACATAGAAGGGACCCCGTCTTACTAGAAATAAATGCGAAGACTCTCCACCGAAGGGGGGCAGCAGGGATGAGAGGGCCGATGATGGCAGGAAGGACCCTCCGGAGCTGGAGAAGGCCGCAGCGCTGCGGTAATCGCCAAAGGTCTCTGGGTAGTAGCTGTCAATGAGGGAGGAGTAGCTGGTCATGGCGGAGGGCTCGCAGCCCAGAGGTTTACCGCCCAGCGTCGACGAGTAGACGTCGGGGGAGAACTGCTTGGTGGACGGGCAGAAGTCTGAGTCTGAGATGAAGGGACGCCTCATGCCGTAGTAGCTGGGCAGCATGTGGGACCCTGCAGATAACAATAGGAAGATATAAAACATATCTATCTTCATAATGGCAGCAGTGGAATGACCAAAGTGTTTACACACCTCAGGTTCTTGAAATTTGCAAGTCACAATGATCTAATTACAGTAATAATGAGAGTGCTGACTGAGACTGTGTGGAAAGATTTGTTTTGCAGGCTGTGAGTGGTGAAGATGTTTGATGCTGTACTTGATTAACAGTCTCACCTGGCATCTGGACAAATGAAGGTGGAGTGGTCGATCCTCCCTGTGACAGAGAAATAAATAGAATAAGGCATTTTAATTGACTGACTGATTGCTTTTATATATGGATTACTAGACACGGGAAAAAAATATACAGATCCAAATGATCACATGTTAAAGTTGAAACACTTTTTTCCAATTTGGTCCCAATTAACACTTCCTATGTCCAGTTGAGCAAGCCTGGGTCAGAACCTCAGTTAACGTCCTCCTTTCCTGTTCTTAGATATGCTAAGACTCGTCTGTTAGCAAAGACAACCAAATTTTGAAGATGATTAAAAGATAAAAGTAGCATATTGCATATATAGACACATCTTAAGTTAGCTAACGTTAGCAAAACGCTAGCTAACTACACAGCTAATTCACATCAATTGTTAGCTGGACAGTTTTGCTACAGAGCAAAACACTTGCAAACTAGCTAGCTAATTGTTGTTGGGTCTCTGTAAATAATTTCATAAGGAGTACGGTCTAACCATGCTCTATTTGAAAAGTGTCATCAAATAAAATTGAATTGAATTGAGCTGTTGGCTAATATTAGCAAAATTGTAGCTAATTACTTAGCTAGCTGGTATAGCTGTTAACTTAAAATGTGTCTATATACTGTATATGCTGCTGCATAGACGAGACTAGCACATAGCATGTCTCAGTACAGGAAGGAGTCCAACTGTTATTGGACGCAGAGCAAAAAGGGGCGGGACTTAGGAAGGGTCAATTAGGAAGGAGTTACAAGAACAGAGTGAAATGGATTGTTTCTCTCACACACGCCAGACACTGTACGGACTGTTGTTCCAGTCAAATTCCCTTAAGCACGCACCTTGCTTGGTTCCAGTCCTGAGCAAACACATTAAAGCTACATGGCTCCTTATGTTGTTTTTGTTTATTTTTAGTCTCCATTCTGAGAACACATCACAGCGCTTTCAACTGTTATTTAAAGATGTCTTTTATATCAAGATTTTGTTACATTTTTAAGCTGCAAACACATTTTATACATCCACCTGTATTTGCTCATGGGCCTTAGTCTGTGTGGGTCAGTTAAGTTTTATTAGGAGTGTCCCTCATAAAACGTAAATGAAATGATATACCCACACTTGCTGAACATACAGCATGTCTATTTTCTACAGAATGTACAACACAGACTGCAAATTATTCTGTAATAAAAATGTTTGCACATTTTGCATTCAAGTACAAAATAAAGGTCGGGCTCCCCTTTTGACTCTTAAAAAGTCCCAGATAAGCAACAGGTTTTTCTTTATTACTTTCATTTTAATGTGTAGCAGTGGACTATTATTGTAATAAACATAAAATGCAAGAAAAAAAGTGAGTACTCTCCCTACTTCTTATTTTATAATTGAGTGGTCTTATTTTGGTTACTTTGTTTGTGAAATTGAACATAACAAATAGGGACATACAGAGATGTATAAAATACAGAAGAGTTCACGCCCAGAGCACAGAGCATTACACCGTCAGGATACAGGGAAAAGAAATTTAGACTAGATATTTACTTCATGCAGCAATATCACAAAGATAGTTTGTAGTGTATGAATTGTCTGACGTATGCTTTTAATATGTTAGCACCATTAGCCATTATTATTACCACATACCCAAATTGACAGAAAGAGAAATCTGGGGAGGATCTAGCCTTTAAATCATAATAATAATAATAATAATAATGATAAGACAACCAATCTCTAAAAAGAGGTAAAAAGAGTCAAATGTTCAAATGTTGTTATCGCAAAAATATTGATTATCTACTTTAATTAAAAACCAGTATAAAACAAAACATGTAAATAACACCATTATAAGTCCTGCATTCAAAACCCTACAACATAAATTAAAGTACAAAAGTGTTAGCAACAAAATGTACTTAAAGTATCAAAAGTAAAAGTAGTCATTCTGCAGGACAATGGCCCCTGTGACTGATATATTATTATATGTGACATTGAATAATGAATGATGAATGAATGAATAACACTGATAAATCAATCTGTAAGCAGTGTTTTACTGCTGTAGCCGCACAAGATGGAGGCACTTTTACTACTTTATATAAGTAATGTAGTTTGGGCCTTTGGTTCCCAAAGTAAGGGTCTTACCCTTCAAACAGGCAGAACCCGTACATCCTATACCACTACACAAGCTGCTTAGGGCCCCGTCTCCCCCTCATGTCAAACCCAGTGTCAATGTTTACAACTTTGATGAGAGGATGAACGGACTGTCCGTCAGAAAAAGAGGAAAAACCACAACAAGAGTGAATTGTGGGAACAGGAGTCAGGTGAACTTGTGTTCTCTCCAAGTGTGATTTCAGTAAATAACAATAATTTAAAGCTGATGTGCAGCTTGCAGCATCTGTCTCTCTCCACTCTGTCTGTCTGTACAGCTGACAGTCTGTCTGTCTGCTCTGTGTTTGTTAAACACCAACTGGCAGCAGTGTTTATTAACTGCAGCTAGGCAGTGGCATTGTGCATGCACAGAATGAAAATCGCTCTTTCTAGCAGTGCTAACGTCTCTGGGCACCAGTCCAGATAATATATGGGCATGATGGCACTGCTCCCAGACGCTCATCATTTCAGAAAATAACTGCTCAAATTCACATCAACAACTTAGTGATTCACTAACTGCTGGAGTGTAACTGTTTTATTATACATATTTATCTCTTACTCTCTTCTTCTCTTTCCACTCTGTGTGACAAAATCTCATATAGGGATCTAGAGTGGCATGAGGTGGCAGCTGCCATCTGATGCCCCAGTTTGGTGTCGAATGGAGCGAAGCCTGCGAGCTA